AAAAAGAAACACATCTCGCAGATGTGAATTAGCACGGGATTCGTTAGTGTGTGTGTGTGTGTGGCTTAAAAGGCTTTTACCTCGGCCGGTCTAAGTGCATGCCCTCGTGCGACAAGTTGGATGTGTAAAAAGATTAATTGGAGTGTTACCCGTGTTTCTAACAATTTGCGACGCCTTCTGGCGGGCCGGCCGCAGACCACTTCTGCGCAACTTAATTAAGCGAAATAACTTAAACGAGTCACCGTTGCTAATTAGTGCCATCGCTGCTCCGGCTAATTCGACGAGTGACTCTTTGTTTGCGGGTTTGTGCACTTCTTTGAGTTCGCGCGCAAAAGAACTTGTCTTCGTTTCGACTTTGCGCAAATGTTTGTTTTGGGGCCCGGGAAGTTTTCCGTCGGGACTTTAGCGAGAGCCCGTTTCATTATTATAACGTAATTAAAATTTTTGTTATTGAAACGAATTTCCTTATTATGGGACGTTGCGGAGGGGCACCCTAAGCGAGAAAAAAACGTCCGTAACGTAAAATTTTTATTAGTAATGCACACAGTGTACGACTTAACTTTGTAATAACGTACAAAAAATAAAATATTTTTATTATATGTTTTTTATAAATGATTGTCAATAAAATAAAGTTGATAACTTTGTAAAATAGTTTTATTTTATTTTTGTCAATAAAAAAATCATAATAAAAAAAGTATACCCGAATAATTATTTTCTTTATACCTCGAATAGAACATAAAATTAATATTTTTATAATAAGGAACTTCGTTCCTATCCGGTGTCCCACGACACCACACATCTTTTTTTTTTTGTTTCGTATTGAGTACAAGACGAATGTTAAATAGTAGAAGAAATAGTGAACATGAGACAACTCGGCTACTCGCATTTAAGAGACAAGAGAAGTGCTCTCGTCAAAGTAGTGCACCTAAGATATCCGACACGACAACAAGTTCCCGACAGCAGTCTTCATGTTACTGGCAACACTGATATCTAAGATAATTTAATTTGAAACTTTTTCTTTAGTCGTACATCCTATTCGAAACAAAACTTTAGGCTATATTAATTTGAATTTTATATGTTCCATTAATGATTTTAAAAGCTTTGTTGATTTTTTTTTCTACTATCGAAAGTAAACATACGCTTCATGGTAGCGATACAGTAAAACGTTGTATTTAAAATAAATTAATGTAATTAGCGTTAAAATCGATAACTCGACAACGATACCGCTGGAGGCTATCGGAAAGTTTGACTTTTTGTAATCTGCACCTATTTAATTAGCTTCAATTAATTTGTGAACGTTGGCTTATTAATGGAGTGTTTGTTAAAGTTTTAGATTTGTTTCGGGCTCAGGGGAAACGTTTATCAGATTTATTTATTTGTAACAATGTCTAATAAAATTTTAATTGAATTTATCAAATGCATGTTGCATTCAATCATCAATTTTTAATAAAATGTCGCAGACATATTTTTTGTTAAATTACCAGTTTAGATTCTTCATTTTCTTCGTTTCTTTTAGCTATGGTTACTTGTTGAAAAAAGCAATGTTTAAAACTAAATTGTCTTATTAAATTCTAGAAAAAATAACTTAATCATTTAGGCAAGTAAAAAAAAAGCTATAACCGTTCTACCACAAGGAAAATCGATTATTAATTCAGTATGTTAGTATAAAAGCAAATTGCAATGAAAATATAAAAGCAATTTAAAATTTAGAACTGTAACAATAAATACTATTTCTTGATGTGTCAGTGCCAAATCACGCTGATTGCATAAAGAAAGACCTTTTTATAAAAAAACCTATATAACTTTTTTGTGATGTTTTATAGTGGCCAGTAACTTTCACCTCATAGTTTTAATGATAGGCAGCGGCTTGGCTCTACCCGAGGCATTGCTGACGTCTATGAGCGGCGGTGACCACTTACATCAGGCGAGCCATGAAAAAAAAAACTTCATTTCTCCGATTACCTCAATACAACATATAAGGTGCCTAGCTGAGTCATGCTGTTGGTCAACAGATGACTACAAAAATAAGCGATGGTCAGTTTTGACAGATATAAAGACTGTGAAACATGTTAAGACATGTCTTAAACAAACCCTATTACTACTAATATTCAATTAATATTTATTTAAAATATTTAAAAACAACTAATATTTACTTCTTTTTTTTTGATTGAGAGCTTACTGGTGGCCCTGAGGCCTTTCTAGTTTTACCTGTCCTAGCCTTTGCTCAGCCAGGAGGGGTGGGATTTCCTAACAGCTGCCCGAGCGCCTCCGAAGGAGACCTAACAACTCAAGAGCAGCTGCTTCGCGAATGAATCTACTACCGGATCGGAATCGCGACCCGCTGAGAAGATCCGGCGAAACTTAGCGAGCTGATTCATGGGTTAGATCGCACGTCGAACTCTTTGCCGAGTTCGACGAGTACGGTTACCGTGGTCCCTAAGCCTGCTCCTAGTGTTAGGGCTGAAGGCGTCTAATATTTAATTACTTACTTACTAATTTAAAAAAAAAACAGATATCCCTAATCCTTCATGCTTCGTGATAATATTCAAACATTGTTCTGTTTATAAGTGCAAAACTGCATGCGTCTCTTATTTAAATTACAGGATAGTAGTGTTCGAAATGTTTTCCGTAAATTAAATTATATTATTTATTATTATAGTTTATTTATAGTTTAACTCGGCGCTAGAGAGACACCTTCGATCCACATAATTGTCGTTTGCGCGATTGTAGAAATTGCTCGCGTGCTAGAGATGTGAAAAAACAATTTAGTATATGTTTTTTTTTATTATTAACAACTAGCTTCCGCTCTTTCGGCCGAGCTGACTACTCCTTATAACACGTACACGAGCACTCTTGCTCAGCTTGCTTTTCAAGGCCTCGAACGATTCACGCTCAAAATTTCCTCAAAATCGGTTCAGAGGTTTGAGCGTGAAAACCTAATAGACGAGTCACTTTCGTATTTATGATATTAGTACAGATAATCTATTTTGGAACGACGTCCGAAAATACGTGGCATTAATTTTGTTTTATTATTTAATACTTGAGGAATATTCTGTAGAATAAGTTTCCAATTTAACTAGACCGTGTTGCACTAGAAAATAAGGAAGTATCAATACTCGGATTCGCTTTGTAGTAAAATCGAATGCGTATCGATTTTTACATTCAAGAACTTAGAATGTTTCCAACCCTAGTCCCTCACCCTTTCAGTATCCTTTCAGAGATGTTTATCGCGAAGGAAATGGCCGTTTTCCGTTGTCCACAATGTAACCATTAAGGGCACAATACTAATGGACTAAGTTGTACGTACCAACTCATTTGTGAAGAAACTCAACGTGATTTAAAAAAAAAAAAATGTTTTCCGGTCACTTTGCTTAGACCGGTCTGTGGGGATTGAGTATTAAAACAGTTTGGTTTTAAATTTAGAATGTTTCAGAATTATTTTTTTTGTAAACAATTCAGTCAAGCGTTTAAAGAATTTATTAAACAGTACATTTTTGTCACACAATACCGTATATGTAAAAAAAAAATCGATGAAAAGGCCCCGATAATAATCGAACAAGTTTATCAAAGCTTTTACTCAGCTTTGCGTTTTATCTAACTTAGATATGATGGAACATGCTTGAGATAGCTTTAATATAAAATTCGATATATCAGGAATGTTTCAAGTGTATTGCACACATTGACACGTGCCGTACTTATTCTGAGGTTAGTAGACATTGTGTCTAATAAAATTTTACACAGTAAATTTTATAGATTTTAAAGGCACTGTAATTTGAATATAAGTTTTTTTTTATTGTCGTAGATAAATTTTGTATTACGATGTTCAATATAACTTTTATATTTCACAACAATCAAATCTCCTTACTTTTTGTATATTGAAAATTATTGTATTTGGTGACCGCATTTTTTCGTACATTCAAAAAAGATTTCTAGAACTATTTTCTGTGTCACTAAACAAGTCGTGCTATTCGACAAAATATCGAACACGTACGATAATGATATAAACGTTTACAAAGAAGGGGGAAGTTGTTTTATCATAGAAGCTCACGAATGGCATGCTTTTTTATCACCGGCTTTAGATAACGCTGAAAGTTTGTCGAGTATCAATCAATATTAGAGGGAAAATTTTCCGTTACTTATAATTTTTTTTTTTTTATATAGCAACACGGAAAAATTCCCGAAATACCGTCAACGATGCAAAGTTTGATATACTGTGGAAAAAAAATACCGCGTATTTTACAAACATTATTCACACGTAATTTTAGGGTTGTCCCTCGTAATGTGTTAATTAGGAAATGCTGGAGTCAAACCCTTTTCTGTTGGGGAGCAAAACTAAATTGATATTTCGATCATCGGTTTTATTGAGTTTACGAATCGAGTCGAGGGGACTTGTCAAGCGGTCAAGAAATCGAGGTTTATATGTTTCTTGAGAAAATAGTGGATCGATATAATATGTCAAAAGACAATTTGTAATTTTAAAACGTATCTTTAATTTGGACACATTTAAAATTTGTAAAGATGGTGATTTTATAACATGGTATTTTGTTAGGAAATCTCAAAAAAAAAATACAAACAGAGAAGTAATAGGTATAGGTAGCACTACGACTTATTCTTATTTTTAAATAAATTTAAAAATAAACATATTGTTTTATTTTTTCTGCATAGTGAGCTCCATTATCGCGTTCATTCTTTTAAGATTCTTTATCTTTTCAGAAACTAAAAAGCAGAAAGAAGAAATCTAGAATCAAATTCTAGAACAATAGAAGGAAACGGGGGTGACTGAAAATCAGCGGTGTTCGATTTATCGACCTTGAACAGCATTAGCTGAACCACCTCCTTTTGCCTTTTTCTCTTTTTTCTTTTCTTTTCTTTTATTAGTATTTTATTTGATGTGAAAGGCAATAAATGATTTTATTATTATTATTATTATTAAATTACTAGAAGGATGGCTGTATGGATAGTCCTTTCTTTAAATGGAGGAGTAATTAAAAAAAACTCACCGGAAGTTCGAGAACCATTTGACGAGCTGCGCTGTGTTGTTCTTGTTAAACTTGATGTCGGGGAAGTACATCTTGAGGACGGCTGAGCTCGGATACCGGACCCAGAAGAACATGAGCTTCGCTTTGCGCAGGTGCATCGGCGTTAGCGTTGAGGAGTGCAACGGAGTCAAGGAATTATCGATAAAAGTTGTCACATAGTAACAGTAGATGGCGCTGTACGTACGTATCGTTCGCTCTGAGTTATCACTAATTAATTTGGAATTTTCATTAATTTTAATTGTTTTAGAACTAATAATTTTGAACATTGTTAATTATTTTAAGAATGAAACATATTTATAATAACTTTACATTTGTGTAATCATGTAGTTGCAGCTAGGTGATAATTATTTTATGAGATTGTCAAAATTTAATATGTAGTTAATAAACTCGATCAGGAAAAACGTAGCTCTAAATTAATAAAATAACGTTGAAATAATCGACAATATTTTGTATCTGTTAACCTTAAAAAAATACAATTAAATTTTTTTGTCTTTTTATCTTTTTTATTTTCGTAGAATTTTTAATATAAGCTTCTATGTGGGTAATAAAGTTGATTTCACCCTCAAGTAAGAAAAGCCTATAAATCTGATTAGGATTGAGCAAGCCGGGCTCCGGGTGGTCACGTCGGTGAAGCACCACAAATACTAATAATCCGTGTGCATTGTCTAATCTTATAACGTGCCTTAGCAGATGTATACCTTCCTTTGCTATTGATTGATGATTTACTATATCAAATGGAACAGTTAATGAATTAATCCAGTTTTGAAATATTAATACGTCATCAATACATTTATTTTGAAGCTCAAAAGATCTTAACTTTGAATTAGTGTTTGGGCATTCGGATTTGTTCGAGTAATTACATAAATACGTATGCGTGAACCCACCGTTGCGGCGACAAGAGGGGTAAGTACTTGGAAATTGTAGATGCCGCAGCATTTGTGGGGCTTCGACAGTCGTAATGCTTAACTGAGTAGGAAATAGTCAGCAGTCGTAAGGTTAAACTCTAGAGAAACAAGATATCGGTTGCCGAGGATTTATATCCGGTCGGTCGGGTTACCGTCCTGACACGAGTTCAAGTGATGCGATCGTATATTGAAAAGGATATAGTAGGCTGAACTCCGTCGTAGGGCAGGTCTGTGGAGTTGCAGTCGGAATGTGGGTCCTGCCCGTCCATCATCATCTGGGATTGGTGCAGCGCGCTGGCGTGCATGCGGGCATGTTGGCGCAGGTAATCGGGCGAGGAGTGATGCGCACTCATCAGCAGCTCTGAGTGGTGCAGCACGGGCGCGTGAGGCAACGGCGGGGACTCCCGCTCCGGGGCTGCAGGTGGCGACCGCGCCAGTCCGCCCCCCGCGCCGAAGAAAGGAGAATACGGAGAGAATACTTGGCTCTCGTGCAGCGATGGGTTCGGTATCGCCACTGCGGTTGGTAATCCTGTGTAAGGCCGCGGTGACGGCGATTCCGGGAATTTGCTCTCCGGAGACTGCCTGACGCCCTCCCCCAGTATTCGACTCACGGTTCTCGGCGTGATGCGTGTGTCGGTGACCTTATGTCGTTTCTTCCTCGATGGGACGACGAGGCTGATCGCTTCGCTCTGTTCGGGGTTCAATTCCCTCTCGAACTGGCCGTTCATCGGCCCGTATAGAGGCCCGAACGGTTTTGGCGGCGTCTGGAACATGCCTGTCGGAGGNGACTGCCTGACGCCCTCCCCCAGTATTCGACTCACGGTTCTCGGCGTGATGCGTGTGTCGGTGACCTTATGTCGTTTCTTCCTCGATGGGACGACGAGGCTGATCGCTTCGCTCTGTTCGGGGTTCAATTCCCTCTCGAACTGGCCGTTCATCGGCCCGTATAGAGGCCCGAACGGTTTTGGCGGCGTCTGGAACATGCCTGTCGGAGGCCGTAAGTGAGGACCTGGTCCGGGGCCGCCCGCCTCGGGGTGTAGCTGGAAGGCCACACCGCCTGGCGCGCGGGCTCCGTTCATTTGATTCATTAACATTGAATTATGTGGAAGGAACGGTACACCATTCGGTGTGGCTCCATGATGTACTGTAAGGTTACCTGGCATCTGTCTCTCCGGAGGCTTGGGCGTTGGCGACTTTCTATCAATGAGCCGTGCAGCTCGCATCAAATCCTTGTTCAGTTTGTCTGCCGCTGCCGATGCCGCTTCAGACTGCTTCCCCAGAACACGTCGCTGGTGCACGAAACGTGTGACGATAGAGTCGATAAGTGTTGCAAGCGAAGCTGTGATTTCATTTTTCAATACATCTGCTAAGCCCTCAAGGTCAGCCCCGGAGATGGGACCAACAGATCCTGTGTTGACCCGTAAAGCATCCAATCGTTCAGCCAGCTCAGATGAGAGAGGTGGTTTCGGCGTCGGTCCAAGTTGCCTGTGCTGCGGCGAATGTTGGTTAGACTGAGGTCTTATTTGCTGATTGTTTTGTTGTTGCTCAGCAGCTTCTTTTATTCTGGCTTCCTGTTCTAAGAACAATTTTTGGCTGACATTTAGATACATGGCTGCCGCGCTATTAAGATGTATTTGAGGATGAGGCGGATGCATGTGATCTGTTGGTGGCAAATGCGGCATCATAGGTAGCGTTCCGTTAAATCCTGGCTGAAGGTGTGGGTGTCCTACTGCCTGCGCGTGCATCTTTGCGGTCATCATTTGGTTCATCACTTGAGAAAACATCTTTGGTGTAGCCGTATTTGTTAGAGGCGGCGGTAATTCTTTGGCCGGAGATGCGGGTTCCGATTTCGGGATCGACTCTTCGATTTGTTCTACATCACTGGAAGCACCGTCGTTATCGACTGTCTCAGACTCCTTCCCTACTCTATTGCATAGTTGCACATATTTTTCATGCATCTCAGCTAACTGCTCTTGCAAAGTTCTAAGTTGTGATTTGAGTGCATTTTTTTCTACTAATTTTTGTTGTATGGGTGGTCGCTCACCGTCGTCCTCCGAGTCGTCTGAGACCGTGTGGGTGCTGCTGCTGTGGCTGGTGCCGTAGCGCTCCGCTGCACCGTCGTGCTGCTGCGGATGGTACAGTTTCCGTTTCTTGCAGCCATTTACCTGTGGTTGTTGCGGCGCAGGACTCGACCGCATCGTAGACACTATATTTTCAACACGAGCACGTTTTACGTCTAAAGGTCTGGGGGAGGAGCGTTGAGCATCACTATCACGATCTTCTGGTTCAGGCTTAGGAGCGATTAAGTTCTCTGAAGACGGAGGAGCTGGAGGCGGAGACGCGTGTGAGTTCCCAGGATTTTCGAGCGAGAGGAGGGCGTCGTCCAGGTCCGGCCGTGAGTCGTGCGAGCAGGGTCGTTCCGGTGATCGTTTCTCTGTTTTCGGTTCGTCATTGTTGTTATTTGCTAGTACGTTGTTGTTATCCGAGGAGAGCAGTAACTCTTTATTGCGGCTCTGTAGGATGTCTCTGAGGACCCGGTGCGCGATCACGCCGCCGTTCGCTTCGTCTCCGTTGTCGTCTTGTTTTGTTGTTCGTCCGAGAAGTTCGTTCAACATTTCGGCCGGCGCGTATCCCGGTCCGAAGAGGCCGAAGTGTTGGCGGCCCTCGAAGATGGCGCTGTATAGTCCGCCACTCATGAGTGCGGCGCGCGCGGGCGCGATTCCGTTCGTCGCGAGAGTCGAGTAAGAATTGCGCGGCTCGCCGGCGTCCACGCGCTGTCTGGCGCGTTTCTGTTTCCTTAGTAGTTTATCCGAGTAGGGCGCGTGAGAGTCGGCCTCCTCCTCCGATGACATTATAGGCTTGGAGAGCCCTTATTGGCCGGGCGTGCGGCGGGCAGGGCCCCACCGCGCTACTCGCGCTGCATCGCCCGTTCTGCAACAGAGAGGGGAGCGCGATCACAACACCTGCCTGCGTGCAACGCACCAAGCGCGTCTGCATGCTTCTTACATCTTACATTATCATATAATTTNCGCGTGAGAGTCGGCCTCCTCCTCCGATGACATTATAGGCTTGGAGAGCCCTTATTGGCCGGGCGTGCGGCGGGCAGGGCCCCACCGCGCTACTCGCGCTGCATCGCCCGTTCTGCAACAGAGAGGGGAGCGCGATCACAACACCTGCCTGCGTGCAACGCACCAAGCGCGTCTGCATGCTTCTTACATCTTACATTATTATATAATTTACTAGTAAATTTCTTTAATCCACCTCCTTCGAGATTATCATTAATTTTTAAAATACTAAAGGAACATTTTCAAACTATTTTATATATTTTTATTAATTCACATTTATTAAACATTATTTATAAAAGTTTGGTATATGTTTTAATATAAATTAAAGAAATTAATGAAAAGTATAAACTAAGACATGATAATGGATCAGCACTGATAACTTGAAATTTTATATTAGATATTTGTCTAACATTAGCCAATTTGTTTTTGATATTTTATCGTTTTCTTATAAGAAATCACAAAATATTAGATAATTCATAGAACCAAAAAAAATTCTACTAAGATATTACATTCAAATCTAATATAATCTTTTTTTTTTATTGCTTAGTTGGGTGGACGAGCTCACAGCCCACCTGGTGTTAAGTGGTTACTGGACATATACATATACCTACATCTACAGCGTAAATGCGCCACCCACATTGAGATATAAGTTCTAAGGTCTCAAGTACATTTACAACGGCTGCCCTTGAAACCGAAACGCATTACTGCTTCACAGCAGAAACAGGCGGGGTCATGGTACGTACCCGTGCGGACTCACAAGAGGTCCTACCACCATTAATATCTACCTAAAATATGGAATTATTTCGTCAATATTGTAATAAGACACGAGTAGGTCGGAGCATTGTATTAGATAAAATTGTATACATAGTGAATGACAAAAGATATGGGCTTCCGCGGTATTAGCGTGGGCGCACATTCTCGGCCCTTGTCGGTCCGGTAGGTTTCAGTTAACAGAATACATCTCAAACAAGACCGTGCAAATTGCCTAACATAGTACATTTTATTCGTCCCCCTCCAACGATCACGTTAAAAGAGAGATAGATAAACATTCCGGACCGGCACGATCGCGCAATATGCGATCGGACTTAATTCCTTTTGGAGCGTGACCCTGTATTCAGCGGGACAATAAAGGCTAAAAATGTCAGAAATAATTCTATGAGACACACGGTTAACGTACTGTTTCCGTTACCATTGACGACACGTTGTTTTTTTTTGTGGTATTTGAACGTAAATTGACGTAAATTCATTCTGAAAATTGTATAGGTATCTATGTATCTGGTGTTAGTCAAACAAATATCAGAAAATGATACATTTTAAAGCATATATTGTTTACAGAGTTCCATTATTGATACAAAACCTTATGCGTTTATCGTTTTAAGGGTAACTTAGGTGTCTTTCTAATTATGTCTTTATTTACGTAGTCCCCTCGTTTTCTAATTGGAAAAGAATCGAACTTTGATTTCAACTAATAACCTTGTATTGAGTACAAACCCATCTTATGTTATTTCCGTAACTAAATGTTGTTCTGTAATAATCAATTAGTCTAATAGAAATTGTCACGGGCGATAATTTTATTGCACTTGTAGACGAGCATACGGCCCATCTAATGGTGAGTGGTTACCGTCGCCCATGGACGTCAGCAATGTCAGAGGCAGAACAAATGAAATCAAATAAAATAAAAAATTATTTAACATAAATGAAAGTACATACTTGTTGAACGTCAAAAGAACTACCGCCAACTCACAAAAACTAGCCTCTGTCCTGAGAAAAATTGGCAAGAAACTCAGCGGGCATGTCTTTTTTTTTTAAATATTAGTTTTTTTTTTTAATATTAGATTTTTCGCAAAGCCGCGACCTACCGTAGTAAGATCGTTAATTTATGCATTCTACTCATCCCCCGGAAGTCGTGATCCTTTGGAGCCGCGCTGATCCCGCGTCTCTAGCAACATCCGCCCCGGCAATTTGCCGTCGAGCACAATGAGATGGTATCAATAGCGGATGACTTCCGATGTTGGCGTGACCACTTGCGACCGGCGACACGCCTAGTCTCCTACCTCTGCATTATGTTACAGAATACCTACACGTGATTAGAATTAAAACAAGCGAACGTTTGTTTTACTCGTTTGACGCTGATTTCCGCGGTGAAGGAATAACATCGTGTAATAAAAGTGAAACCCGCAAAATTATAATTTGCGTAATTACTGGTGGTAGGACGTCTTGTGAGTCCGCGCGGGTAGGTACCACCGCCCTGCCTATTTCTGCCGTGAAGCAGTAATGCGTTTCGGTTTGAAGGGTGGGGCAGCCGTTGTAACTATACTGAGATCTTAGAACTCATATCTCAAGGTGGGTGGCGCATTTACGTTGTAGATGTCCATGGGCTCCAGTAACCACTTAACACCAGGTGGGCTGTGAGCTCGTCCACCCATCTAAGCAATAAAAAAAATCTGTGACCGCTTTGGTGTAGTAAGTAATTACCTCGTGGTCTAGATAGGACTACTGTTCGGAGGCAAAAGGTCCTTTAACGTTACTGATATTAGAAGCGAACGTTCAAACGTAACTTGGAAAGAAAAACCAATTAAATTCTTGGTCGCAAATCAAATGTTTGAGTTATTAGAAAACTTCTCCTTGCTAATTACGGAACATAATTTTTATTACTGGTGTTAGGACGTCTTCGGAGTCTGCATGGGTAGGTACCCTGCTTATTTCAGCCGTGAAGCAGCAATGCGTTTCGGTTTGAAGAGTGGGGCAGCCGTTGTAACTATACTGAGACCCTAGAACTCATATCTCAAGGTGGGTGGCGGCATTTACGTTGTAGATGTCTATGGGCTCCGCTAACCACTTAACACCAGGTAGACTGTGAACTCGTCCACCCATCTATGCAATTAATAAATAATAATAAATAATGTGAACGTAAGTGAAAAAAGAAATATCAAGCATTTGCATTCAAAGATGAAACCTAAATAACTTTAGTTTACAATTTAACAAATAATTATTAATTTAAATATTAAGTCACACACGTCAGCGCAGGGAAAACCGTGCGGTTGCAAATTTCCTTAAATTATCGTCATAAGTTAAATGCCTTCATAAGTAAATTATATATTCGGTCCCGAGATTACATTTTTTTTAATTATTATTTTTAATTGCTTAGATGTGTGGACGAGCTCACAGCCCACCTGGTGTTAAGTGGTTACTGGAGCCCATAGACATCTACAACGTAAATGCGCCACACACCTTGAGATATAGTTCTAAGGTCTCAGTATAGTCACAACGGCTGCCCCACCCTTCAAACCGAAACGCATTACTGCTTCACGGCAGAATTAGGCAGGGCGGTGGTACCTACCCGTGCGGACTCACAAGAGGTCCTACCACCAGTAAAAAACGTTGTTTGAAATCCTTAATAAAATGTGTTCAATCTTTAATTGAAATCAAGCTTTGAAAAACGCAATCCTTAAGGTTCCTACTGCTACTATCAGTTGTGAAACTGCATTTCGAGTCTGTAATAAAATCATAACCATTTTAAAGTATCTGTAGAGGTATACTATGAATTAAAAGAAAAATAACTTATAAATGCATTGCAAATTCTTGGATATTCGTTGTCACGTCAAAAACGATACAATAAACATACTATTTAAGATTTAGTTAGTCGTATTATTCGAGTTAAATATTATTAGTTTTATTCCAGAGGTCCATCATAATACAGTTCAAAAAAATAAGATGAACATGATTTTTTTATTGTAACGAGCAGAGATATATAAGAAGACCATAGTATACACATACGCATTGGTTTGGTTAGTTCTCATGAAATTCCGAAATTAGGTACAAATACATTTTTAGAATTCTCATCAATTAATTCGGTTTTTTGCAAATGTTACTTGAAAAACTATGCCTTATTTTTTCACGTTGTTTAATTTATGTATCAACATTTCTTTCAACCTGGCATTGTTTTCCAAAAAAAATATTTACTTAATTGATAACATCCCAAAACTATCCATGCCATAGTTTTTAAATTCGCCAATAGGCAAAGGGCTTAGCCCATACAGCCTTATAGCAAACCTATATGCTGTCAAACGAAAGAGTTGTTTGTGACTTGAACAACAAATAAAAAAAAAATAGCTAATGCTTATAATTCACAGGCTTCTTAGTTTATTTTTGTTCAATTCAATATTTATTGTAATAATAATTAATAGTGGTCCCCAGAATTTCGTATACACAATTAGAGTGTTTTTCAATTAATTCGATATCTTTTCGGTCTATTTTGTCCTACAAATGTTACTAGATTTTACTAATATAGTGGTCCCCAGAATTTCGTATAAGCAATTACACTGTTATTACTTTTGTGAAGTCGTACCTACATGAATTGCGACCTCTTTTTGGCTGCCATTTGCGGTCATTTCGGTACGTGAGGTTCACTATACATCGCGATATCACAATTGGATATTCACTTGGAATTTCAATTGGAAAAACCAACTTTATGCGTATTCGTTTTAATCATATTTTACTATATATTTCGTTGAACTAATATTTTTCAACGTTGAACTAATCGGGACAGAGCGAAGTGAAACTTACGCGGACGGCATACGGGTTTTCAATTTTGTTCGTGTTTGCATTTTAGAGTGTTTGAAATCTGAGTCGCTGAACCATCTCGAATTGTTCCGGTGTTTCCGTAATTATATTTGTTGAATTTGTATAGAAACAGCGCATTAAAATGTCTATAGATTGTCCGGTTTGGCAATCTACAACGTTGAGGATATGTCATGCGTTATTTCTAAATAATGTCTAGTCACAATAGCGTATTTTAAAGATTTTTTTATTTAAACT